GCCCCCGCTCCTGATGATGACGATGATGACAGTCATGAAGACGATGATGGTACTGCAGAAATTGTATTCAAGTGACATTACAATTGGGAGTACTGGAGGCTTTACTTGAGCTGTGTGCAGGCCCCGCATTACCGTTGTGCATACAACAATACATCTTATTCGCACACGTAAACAATGTATAATATATTTTTATAATAGCTGCCGTGATTCATTTTTGACCCCCCAAGCGTGCCGCTTGGTAGCATTTACGCGTCCGCTCCAAAGCTCCACAAATCCTGTCCGCCCATCTGTTGCGTGCACACGCGTACGGGTCACGATGACCACGACAACAACAACAACAGCAGCAGCCCTTCGCCACTAAGTCACGGTGACGTCAACAGAGTCCTTGCGCCAGGCTAGGTGCACGCGTTGAGGCTATCGCGCCAAGTGTCGCAGGCAAGCCGCTGACAGGAAGTCACGGGGCAGACCCGGGTGTCGAGGGTTAACCGACCGAGATGACTGGCCCCGTGCACCATGCGCGCTCCCAACAGCGACAAATTACAAAAATAAGCTATTTAAAATAATTACGATGAGTGATTGTCCGGCGTTTTTGAAAATCCTGCGGTCCCTTCCTCCCGAAGCTGCCGGATTGAAGGCCAGCATGGCTCAACAAGAGGTGGTTGGGGTCGGCCAGCACCACGCCGGCATCGACTTCGTCTCACCAGCTCTCATGTTTCCTTACCGCTGACCAGCTACTCGTGTAACCCCTGAACCACCCCCCCCACCCCCCCCGCTTATCTTCCCTCCGTCCTGGACTCGGTCGCCCCAGTTCTCCGTGCGTGCGTGCTTGCGTGTGCCTGCGAAGTCCAGGACCAGGTCGGTTCTGATATCACTCCCCACCGATTTTGTTCGTGAGCGGGAATAGATTTTTTTTCAGGCCGCCGGGTTCGGAGCGCATGGCGAGTCAACCGCGGCGCCACCGCTCCCCGCGCGACAGATCCCCGCGCGACAGATCCCCGCGCGACAGATCCCCGCTCTCCCACATCGATCTTATCCTGGGCCCTCCCCATCCTCCGCTTTGGCTCCCACCCGCGTCACCGCAGGGGTCAGAGGGGGGCGTGCGCGTCACCGTTGTCACGAGATGCGGCACGCGCGCACGCCGGCGTTGCCGTGGCAACCGCGAGGAGCAAAGCAGCAACCGCGGCGGCGATGGTGGAGGAGGCGAAGAGGATGGCAACGTGGAACCCGTGACGGGAGCAATGGTGACGGTGGTGGTGGTGGTGGTGAGGATGATCAAGGTTGACGGAGATTATGGTGGTGGTGACGATGATGATGGAGTTAGACGGAGATGATGGTGGTGATGATGATGGGGGTTGACGGAGATGATGGTGGTAGTGACAATGATGACGGGGGTTGATTGTGATAATGGTGGTAATGTACGCATGTCTCACAGTACATAGCCAACCGTGCTAATTGGATGATGATAATGATGGGTTGAAGGAGATGATGGAGGTGGTGATGATAGAGGTTGATAGAGACGGTGGTGGTGAAGATGATGGAGATTATGGTGGTAATATTGATGATGAGAATGATGACGGTGGTTGATGGTGATGATGGCGGTGATGATGATGGTCGCGGTTGCTTAAGAGAGCCATCGATGAAGACAATGAAGATGGTGATGACAGCGGCGATGAGAGTGACGATTATGGATAGATGCCGACTTGCCGCACTGCCTTCCTACAAGGCGCAGTCATTGACCAAATCACGGCCCGCACGACGTGACCACCGTTACACCGGTTGGCGAAATGAAAACTAAAACGACGCTGAAAGAGACGTGGCGGCGGTGGCGATGGTGGCAATCGTGGCGATGGTGGTCGTGATCACATTACAAAACGCGATGGCCCAATTCAATTATCAGGCCTTTACAAAAGCAGCTGAAAACCCAAAGGTATTCGTCTATCGTGGGCATTTAAAGCTGTGTAGATTCGTCAACTGAAATTTATTCTCGAGGTCATGATGCACATGCTGAATGTAATTACACATTTAGGCTCATGGCACAAACAGAACTGTAGTCGCGAAACAGGAACAAAATTAGCAGCTTTCACAACGATGGTAAAAAAATTACAATTGGTTCTAAAAATAGAATCATGATCCCAAATCGTGACAATTCATCACATCCCCGGGAGGCTGAATTGTCACGTGAACACTGCTGCGAATGAGTCACACGAACAACTTCTAATCACATTAATTACAGCATTGACAGTAGTCATCCCGTGTGGAAAGACAAACCACTGCCGTAGCAATGTGGAATTTCATCAGCATAATTTAGTTTTTACGCTTGGTTTTCCAGGAAGGCCTCGCTGAGTCTCAACACGTTTTTGACACACGATGGCCTACTCTTCCCGGAACGACGTCACGGGATATTTGACGTCCGCTGTGGTATTAACCGGGGCGGCCTGCCGGATTTGAAACACGCACCTCTGCAACAATCGGCAAATAGTGATAAGCACCACCAACGTGCTCACACGGGCAGAAAGATGATCGACTTTTACTTTAAGAATATATATAGATTGTGCTCTATGTAACTGCAGACATTGTTTAAATGTATACCTTGTGCAAGTGAGCATCAGTAAAGAATGGCCACCCTTTGTCAATGATCTCCAAGGGCTTTTAGGCTCCTTAACAGCCACTCGACAACAGATAAGGGTAGGTCAGCAAAGGTGCAGAAATTACCGAACCAGCGAGCGGCTCAGAGGTCAGGGAGTCGAAACGCCGCCGATATGTTGGGGTTTAACAGGGGGCAGTCGGCCGAGGTTAAACCCGAGGCCCGAGGAACCGAACCGCTTTACACAATTCTATAAATTGTGTTAGGCCAAGGCTTGTCCTCATCTCAAATTCCCCTTCGGGATTTATGCGAGGGGAATTGCGCAACTAGCGTGAGATGGTAAAGGGACAAGGGTGGGCATCAGGAGGGTACGGACAAGGGACAAGAGCGGGCATCAGGAGGGCACGGACAAGGGACAAGAGTGGGCATCAGGAGGGTACGGACAAGAGGCAAGAGTGGGCATCAGGAGGGCACGGACAAGGGTCAAGAATGGGCATCAGGAGGGCACGGACAAGGGGTAAGAGCGGGCATCAGGAGGGCACGGACATCAGGCAAGAGCAGGCATTAGGAGGGCGGATCGCTGTTGCAGTAAAAGCGACCATGCACCCACAGGGCTCGGGATTGAGCCGCGGGGCTGCGAGCGAGGTGGCCCGGAGGGCGCGAGCACGTCCACCCTCTCACCTTGGCCTCTGTGGCAATGCCCGCGTGTCCCCTGGAACGCTATCAAATTAGCGCACACCCATTTACAGGGGGCAGCGGCAGCAGCAGCAGCAGCAGCATGTGGGACGAATCCCACGCTCCCCGCGTGTCACAGACCAGAGCTGCGGTCACGGCTCAATCCACATTATTACCACTTTTTTTTCACCCCGCTGGAAGTCACTTTCCGAGCAAGCTGCAAGCACGCCCCATCTGTTTGATCCCACGTAATGTTTTCGCTTGTACCGGTACAAATGCGGTGCGTTGTAAAGCACGTGAATGGTTGGTTTAAAAAAAAAATGCTGAGCTGAGTGTGCCGTCGTGTATTCAGATTGCGTTGTTGACACACATGGACTATACGGTTGTGCTGGACTTGTTTAGGCCCCATCGCCAATAACCGCACACATCACGCTTACGCGCTCGATTTAGCTAAATTGTAGCTCCGAGAGAATTACAACAACAACAAAAATCGCTTCTACCGTCACGTGCAGAGAGTGTGCATCCTCACAGCAGTGTGTGGGAAAGTGCTCCCCCTGCTGTGGATAAAGGCGAAAGACGCCATCTATGTTCAGGTGAAGTAGCGTGAAACGTCCCATCAGCAGCCCGTCCCATCAGCAGCCCGTCCCTTCACACGGGCCCCACGCACTGGGGAGGGTCTGCGAGATGTCCCAACGTATTCTGCGTCTCAAGGCATGACACCGGTGGTCACGATTCTCGTGCATTTGTGGAAAAAACCCAAGAACAGTAAATCTACGGTCTCCCTCACGCATCCGTCCCTCCGCGTGAAAAAAAAATTCAAGTGTAATTTACACTTTTAAATTTATTTAGTGCTATTACAGAGATGTTGACCCCTGTGAGGAAACGACTCGCAAACAATTGAACGTCCGCCAAACTTCAATCTCCAGTTCCGTCGAGTGAATCCCGTGACCGTAGGCACCTCGCAAGGGGCGTGCGTACAACAATCAGCGTGCCGCGACTGCAAACGTGCACACACTGCGGAATGCATTGCATAGATAAACGTGGCTGAGTAACTTGGGTGGCCAAAGCCAGGATGTGAAATGAATGAGCTAGACATGCTAAGGGGTGGGCCCGGGTTTGGGCGGTCACGTGACCTAGCGGCAGCGCAACTGCTGCTTGTTGCGGAGGTTCACGGTTCGATTCCAGCGGTCGCCCTGATTATGTACGTTGAACTTCTTTCGCACCGTGCGTAGCCAACCGTGCTAATCGGAGATGCAGGGGAGGGGACAACAAACCAAATATCTACGTGACTTTACCGAAAGTCCCAAAGAATATAGAAAAGAGCAGTTGAGCTTGTTGTCCTTCCACCGCGCCTCCAATTAGCACGGTTGGCTTCGCACGGTGAGAAAGAAGTTCATTAATACCGCGGTGTGCATAGACCGTGAATTAATCCGCTCCGTCTATAATCACGGTGGCCGTTAACAATGCCGCGACACCGGTCACAGGAGGCGGCCATTGCGTGCGTCGGCGGCGTCAAGGGTCCAAATTTGACAAATTATCCGTAAATTACTCCATGGGGATCCCGCGTAGCGCTCAAATCCCCACCCCGCACTGCGAAAAAACTTGGCAGGTAACCTGAGAAAAGCAGTGAGGCTCAAGTAAGTTTTTCCTGGGTAAACTGTGACAACAACAAGAATCACGGTATTCAGTTGAGTTCAATTCTTAATCGTGCATGGCCAGGCCAGGTCAGTGTCCCACTTACCACGGCGTAGGTTTTTCACAGGTGGTGTCGTAGAGCTCTCCGCGGTGCACCCTGAAAGAAAACCATAGGAGGGCAGTAACATCAGTCGCCTGTACCGCAGCAGTGCCGATGCTTCGCTGCATTTTGTGAAGTACGACAACACTTCGGGGCACCCACGGATGTGCCCCATACCCCGCTGCCTCTCATCCACGTTGCACCCATCCATCTGTCACCCTCAATCACCATCACACTCCACCGTATTCCTCCTTTCCTACCCCTGCAACATCATGGCTCCATTCCCAGGCCCTGTCCCTCAATCGCTTTCGTCACCTCCCTCACTGACAGCCGCTCCACCCCACCCATTGCTCCCCTTCTGCCCCTTTTTTTTTTAACCGCCATCGGTAGAGCAGTGCCCTGGAAAGGGTGCTGCTCTATGAATCCTAAATAGAATAGCATATCTGGATTGGACTTTCCGCTGAAAAAAAATCATACAAGTTCTGGAAAAATCATGCGTACGCCCGGGTTACGTGACGCTTATCAACGCGCGATTGTCTGCGCGAGTGTCTGATGAGCGGCAAGGAAGTCGACCGGTAGGGCAACAAAAGCATTTTCCGAATTTGCAAAATGTTCCTTTTACGCTCAGGATTTGTCGCCAAGCTCATGGGCAATCGTTTGATAAAAATTTCCGGTCGGCGGTGGCTACGTGTGACCATTTTCATCGTTCATGCAAACTGCATCTCGCAATCGCTGAGTATCGGAATCTTTATTTAGACTGGAGGAATCCTAGTGGGAACCACGGACCAAGCTGGAAGGCTGCCAGGTGGTGAGCCACCGCCAACAACTGCTCTACTATTCTCTACATATTAAGTTGCTTTAAGCCAACTCGTGATCGCTTACACATGTGATCGGAAGCCGCAGCGCCTGGAGGAAACTCGCGCATGCGAGGGCGCAACGCTCTATCCCGTACAGAAGGGGGACAGACGATGCCAGTCAGCACTTTGCTGCACTGCGTTCTGCTGGCAGAGCCAGGGTCGGGCAACTCCTCGATGCCGACGGGATTGGAGTCGCACAACATTTTAACATTCGTGCGGTGATCCACCGACCCTAGCTGCTGCCTCCACAGGGTTGGATTTACAGGCAGCCACATGCACAGCGTAGGTGCCACCGGCGTTTTGCTCCACGTGCTTCTGCAGCAGCCCACTCTCTCCCTCGATCACACAGCGGTGTTGCCTGCTGCTGCTGGTGGTAGTGGTGGTCGTGCCAGTTCCTTAGCACCGATTGGCTCCCCTATGCCGGACTGTGCAATCGGGAGAAATAGTGAGGCGCTCAGTTTAGTTCCTGAAGAAGCCCTCTCCCCGCACGTAGAGCAAAACGTCGGGCATCACGCCGAACAACCCGAAAACGCATCGGAAAGCCTTGCAGCACAACGGCCAAAACATACAAAAGACAAAGATCCTCCGTGCAGCCTTCACAGGCTGTTGGGGCAAGTGCTTTTAGCGAGCAGCTATAAAGGCCGGCTCAGGCACACGAGGGGGTGGGTGGCCAGCACCACGCCCAGCCGCCTTTGTAGCGACTTTGACACATTCGCACCAGGTACTTATTGTAGGCTAAGTCGACCTCGGGGAGGCCCAGGAACGATTCAGATAATCATCACTGGTGTTGGTGGGCCGTGAGCGGGAATCAAACTCAGGTCACCGGGTTCGTAGCGCAGCGTGCTAAACACTACACTACTGCTCGAAAAAAAACACACACACACATACATATACACAACACATACAGTTTAACATGAACAGAACATGCCAATTCGTTACTAGTACATCACACACCAGTGTGTTGGAGAGCAAATCCACGACATTTACAAATTGAGCACGACGGTGTTGCTGTACTAGTAACGAATTGGCACGTTCTGTTCACGTGACAAACCTTACTAATTGGCTGAGTCGGGTGGTGGTGGGTTTAACGACACATTTATATATTCTCGCGATCTAACGCAACCCCCCCCCCCCCTCTATTACGGACAACACGTACACACAAAACACAACGGCTGGGTTGAGTTGAAACGTGGCAAGGTCAAACCGGGGGCGAGGGGATTGCGCCATCCTGTGGCCAGAATGAGCCCCCTCTCTCAATCCCTCGGCCCCGCTTCCATCTCCGGCTTCAATCGATCGTCCCACCTCGCCAGCGGCAGCAGCAGCAGCAGCCATTCTCCATTCGCTGCAGCAAGGCCGCTCTGTTGTCGGTGCCACCACGGACTACGGCGTGGTGTGTGCATGGCCAGCGTTCAGGCGTAATGATAATAACGGTGGTATTTAGTTACCTTGGCAAAATCTGAATGCCCTTTTCCAAGAGGGTAATGCATCGGGACGTTTGTCAAATTCCAATTCACGACTTCGGCTAAGGGAGTTTTTTTGTGTATACAGTAGTCGTGTCTGTGTTTATGTTGGGTACTCGTGCTAAGTCTGTCGGCCGGCTTGGGGGTTGCCGCCTGGGTACGTTAGTCTCCCCTTTCCCCACCTCCACTCCATCCCCAATCCCACTCCACTCCATCCCCAATCCCACTCTACTCCATCTCCAATCGCCCTCCACTCCATCCCAAAACCCCTTCCACTCCATCCCCAATCACCCTCCACTCCATCCCCAATGGCCCTCCACTCCATCCCCAATCCCACTCCACTCCATCCCCAATCCCACTCCACTCCATCCCCAATCCCCCTCCACTCCACCCCAATCCCACTCCACTCCATCCCCAATCCCACTCCACTCCATCCCCAATCCCACTCCACTCCATCCCCAATCCCACTCCATCCCCAATCCCACTCCACTCCACCCCCAATCGACCTTCACTCCATCCCCAATCCCACTCCACCCCCAATCGACCTCCACTCCATCCCCAATCCCACTCCACTCCATCCCCAATCGACCTCCACTCCATCCCCAACCCCACTCCACTCCACCCCCAATCGACCTCCACTCCATCCCCCACGGCCCTTCACTCCACATGTATATGTAGCGACTGTCCCACACGATACGTGGGACAGAACAATCAAGAAGGCTGTGGAGCAAACACTCCACGCTCTGATTGGTTAGGGCACGGGCAGCAAGAGGATTGGCCAGAACATTCCAAAGGGAAAAGAGCCGGAGGGGGTTGGGTGACCGCCAGGTGGGACGGATAGGCCACGTGAGGGTAAGAGAGGATGGCGATTGGTGGAGACGAAGTGCGACGAAGGGCGGAGCCAGGAAGAGGTTAAAAGAGGGTGCGGGAGGCGGAGTTGGGGGCGTTGCAGGAGACAGCGAGGATGAAGGTGTGAACCCGTGCTGTGAAATAAGGAGCTGCGCTTGTTGACAAAGAAAAGGGCCACTCTTCTGTCACATATATTTGCATGCATACGACGCAAACAGTAGTTTTTGCTGTCGTTTCTCAGTTTTGCTTTCGTTTCTCCGTGTTCAACCGATGCACAACACATTCATCCAAAATGATGGACGGAAGGCGATGCGGTTACGCTGTCCTCACAGCGCAGCGACCGACATCGCACGCACTGAACAGCCCATTAGCCCCGCGCCCCTGGCCCTGCTTGGCGCCGAGCCAGATTCAGATGGTCTTGCGAGGGACACGCGGGCATCGCGGTTTGGGTCCCGGCGTACCACCCGCGACGCCGGGCACGCCGACGCGACTCAACTCATAACGTTCCGGGAAGCAGAGGTGCGCACTTTTTAATGTGCACCTCTCCCGAACGTGCACAAAAACCCGGCGATGACGCCCCCCCCTCCGCCTCCCCGCCCTGACGCAGAGGATGACCCCTGACCCCCCCCCCCCCAAACGCGAGCACACGCAAGGTCCCTATTTATAGCGTTTGCTGCGGTGCCCACGTAACGGTTCGTAGCCGTCGGCGCGGGCTATCTACGGCGCCGTAGCGTAGCGGCGCATGCTGCCGTGGTGCCGCTCCGTACAGAAGGTCGTGCGCTCGCAGCGTTGGAAGCGTGACCCCCCCAAGTTTCGACGTGATGGACAGAAAGGTTGTTGTTTTTTTTCTTTCGGAAGGCGAAAAAAAACTCGGCCGGATTTCGTTTTTTTTAATTGTGGGACGAGTTTTAAACACGCGCAGCCGGTGGCACGTAACCCACTTGGGTATGTGGGTAGAGGGACCCGGTCGAGTGGTTGGCGAGAGTGGATTCTAACGTGCGCTAACTCCCTGGCTCTGTTACCCCTTTGCAAGTGAACCCTCCTCGCACGTTAACCCCCCTCGCACGTTAACCCCCCCCCCCCCCCCCCCCCCACTCGTGGTGGGTGCTCTCCGGGTTCTCGGGTTTCCTCCCACAGAGAGACCCCCGTTCACACCACAGGGACCCCGCTACTTACGAACGAGTTAGGTTCCAGAGGTCTGTTCGCGAGTCCAACTTTACTCCTGTTGGTTCCAAACATGTTGTACGGCGTCTACGCTAAACACGGGGAATGGCTTTAAAAGTTGCGTAATCTCCTGTAGATGTAGATGCCACTGGTTCTTCGCCTTCTGCAGATGTAGATGCCACTGGTTCTTCACGTTCTGTAGATGTAGATGCCACTGGTTCTTCACGTTCTGTAGATGTAGATGCCACTGGTTCTTCACGTTCTGCAGATGTAGATGCCACTGGTTCTTCGCCTTATGTAGATGTAGATGCCACTGGTTCTTCACGTTCTGTAGATGTAGATGCCACTGGTTCTTCATATTCTGCAGATGTAGATGCCACTGGTTCTTCGCCTTATGTAGATGTAGATGCCACTGGTTCTTCGCCTTCTGCAGATGTAGATGCCACCACCGCCATCTATTGCGTGGCGGTTGAACTGCACATACGGACAGGTTTGCTCATATCTCTGAAAGTTCTTAAGTCGAATGCTCATAAGCAGAGGCGTCCCTGTATTGACTAAAACATCCCAGTGTAGGATATCCATGAAATAATATCCTGAAGGCTCAGTGAGGCATCACTGGGTAAATTACATGCTGGGTGTTAATTTCCTAGAAAAAAAAATGGGGCATTAAGATTTAAATGATTATTATTCTTAAAGAATTCTCAACTATTATAATACTCTACACCAA